GTTTGCATGTTCTCCCCGCGTTCATGTGGGATTTCTCACCCAGTCCAAAGACGGCCGGACAGCTTCTGGGAAGACTGGCCCTGGCGTGAGGGCGTGAGCGTTTGTATCTGCGTGTGCCCCGCCATGGACTGGCGTCCCACCCAGGGCGTACCCCGCCTTGTGCCCGCTGCTTACCAGGATAGGCACCGGCTCCCCCCACGACCCCAATTGGGATAACCAGAGTCCGCAAGAATAAGAACAGTAGAAAGGCCGAGGTATCTGCTTTGACAACGTGGCTGAGTGGGTTGCTCTTGGTTTTAAAAGCACATCGCCGTGTCAATATTATCGCTGTTTCTGTCTGGATGCAGTTTCGGTGCATCGAGCAGCACAGTGTGTCCAGAGCGCTGCACTCCCTCCACTGCTTTCCAGACGACGCGCTGGCCTGTCCGTACGGCTCGTCCCAGCAGGCCCCCAGGCTACTGGCGGTCCCACCGCGAGCACAGCGCCGTCCCGGCCTTTTTTTAGTTCTGTTTTTCACGCCGCCAGGTTTCGGCGTTCCAGGGGATTATCTCGGCCGGAGAGAAACGATGAAGCCTTTTTTGGTTGTGGTTTTTTTTTTTCCCGCAGCGGGGGTAATAATGGGGAAAAAAAAAGGAGCAGCCTGTCACGTTCTCCGCCCCTCACTTCCCCCGAATCGATCTCGACGCGTCCGCACCGCGAACGACAACACCGCTGTCGCACGACACCGCTTTCCTGGGGCGAGCGACGTCAGCGCCATCTAACGGCCTGAAGGCACTGAACCGGGAATCATTAACCGCGCGGCTCTGCTCAGAATTCCGCGAACCTCCTGATCTGTTTCCCCCTGACCTGTACAGTGTAATTGGTAAGATTTATTATTCCGCTCATGGTCATAAATCACCGCGCTGACCGTCCGAGAACCCAGCCACTGGATGTAGAACTAGAAACCCCCCACAATGCTCTGCTCTCTGTCAATGTCCTTTCACACGTGTGACATGGCGTTGGACCAGGAAACGCAAACCTTAGAATGAAGCCGCAAGTGTGACCGCTGTGAGCCAGGTTGCATGGGCCTCCTGCACGGAGCATGTGACCAGCCCCACGGAGAGGAAGGCTCTGTCCCCGGACGGGAACCATATGACTCATGGGAGCTTCAGCAGTTCTCAGGGTAGAACAGGCTGGCCATTGAGGAGATCAAAGGCCTCTGTGCTATCCTCCCCCCCCCAACCCGATGTGTCAAGAAGCAGAACAGCTGGAAGATATTGTTATTGATATTGAGCTCCATAAAGCCCCCTTTGAATTCGGAGCCGCTCGGCCCACGCAACGCTGTGACGAATCGGAGGGCGAGTCATTCCTGGAAGCCTACCCCGCCAGCTCAACTGCACGCCCGCTGGCCTTGATGGCGATCGGCGGGCGGGGTCTTCAGAGCCGATAAGGGGTGGGGCCGATCACTGCGGGCGCCGAGGGTGTTGATCTTTTCAAAAAAAGATCGTTTCCTTTTCTCCCGGGGCTCGACCGGTTCCGATCCCCGAGAAACCCAAGAACCCTCTCACCACATCAAGGGGTTAGTGAGGG